GATCTGAGCCTTTTCGTTTCCAAGATTAAAGACGATCATACTCACAAATGCAGGTCCTGGCGACAGTACGGCAGTAACGACGAAAGGAGACCGTCCGCATAAATCAAAGATGATCATTTTTAATAATCTGCTGGGTTCGACAATGAGAAAGAATCATAGCAACTAACTTTACATGCGCTGCCATTTGACGCTTATTTTTATCCGGGCCGGATGCGACCTTCATAAAGTAAATGTAAATATCTATGAAAAAAATCTTCAGGCAACCAATAACGATCATCTTATATTATGCAGTATTGACATATATGTCTATCTTTTATTAATTTATGACGGTTTAAAATAAAACTGACTAGAGTGTAATCTACACGTCATCTGTTGAACCTCTTCAGTTTGCTTGGACGATTTAACAATTTTGCAAAATCAATGTTATTGGCTGTTAAGCACCAAACCTAATCCTTTCTTACTTTTCCTTCAGCTAGTCTTGATTCTCTTCTCCTTTATTGTCGACAGGTTTTCCGTCTTGCATAAAAAATGGACATTATGAGAAGTGGCTTTCCATACAAGTTGCAAAAAAACGCTTTGCAGCAATTACTGAATAATTATAGGGAATTATAAGCAATTACACCTTTTTAAGTGTATATAATTAAATCACATTTCTGTTGTTCAAATGGGTTTTTTGCCATTGTAATTTGATCCCGTTTCTTCATGAGAAACTCCACCCAACACGTTTTGACAAGATATGAGGTTTTAATAATAGTTGCTGATAAATTGCTTAGAATTATAAACTTATTAGATATAGGCCTATATAATACAATGGCAAGCACAAATATTTGCGTTTTGGTTTTCAGTTTGATTTTAAGGATAATCCCAAATCTTAGTCAAACAAAGGAACATTAGACTCGCTTTGAATGTCTGCATACTAATTTAATGAATATAAAAGCTGCATACATACACACACATTATATATAGAGTTAAGCTAGAGATATGTGACATGGATTTATTATATATATTGCTATACTTATGGTGGCCCGTCAAAAAAAACTCCTTTTTCGTGGTTTCAGTGTCAGAGTAGCCTAGTTATTGTGCTTTGCCTTTATATGGCAATATGATTAAATATTTCGCAATAAAACAGGAAATACAGGCAACACAATTAAGCTTTTTACGAAGCACTTGTCTATAAACGCCAATAGTGATCGAGCGAAGGGTTGCAGGTTAATAGGAAGGTGTAATATATATGTCCGCCGAGGCAGAGACAGACCGAGAGACTGCAGTATGCAGAATGTGCTGCAGGTCGGAGCCAGAAGCGCAGCAGAGAGCCTGAATGAATTACCTTAATGGTCTATCTTCAAAGCATCTATAGAGTGAGCACGAGTGCCCTTTTATTTCCTTTGTTTAGTTATTAGCTTTTTCTATATTCATTTATTCTTATGTTTCAAAACGTGGCTTTCTGGAAAGGTTTATGTTCTAGTCGGGCGAGGACCACTTGTTCGATAAATAAAGCGAGTGGCTTCTGAAAGGCCCGCGAGCTTTTGAAGTCCTGCTCCGTGAGTGTCCGGAAGCGATGGGGTCGAGCAGAACCCTAGCAAGGAGCCGCGGGGGACGCTAATCCGACAAGGGGCACCGCGCGGTCACACATGGCCATCGCCGTCAGCCTGCGGATGTGAGGGTTACAACTTTGACGAAACTCCTCATTTCCATTTTCTGACTCAGATCTGTCCCTTAATACTTAATGCTTCAGTTCTGTATTCAACATATGCTTCCCAGAGAACCTCTTACCTTTCAGGGGAGTGAAAAAATAATGCATACCTTCCTAGTCTATAGCAGACTAGAGTCTGAATTGGAACCTCTGCGCTCTACGACAAATTCAGAAGGCTACAGCAAGGACTGTTTTAAAGTGTAGGGCAGACTTCAGAATCCTTCTGTATCTGTCTACATCAGGCTGCTTTTACTACCAGTCTCCAGGAAGCTGGAATCCTGACCTTTAGACTTTGTTTGCGCAGCAACAATTATAGAACGCACACAAATTACAGTCCTAACACTCTTCCATTAGACATCGAGTTGAGTTTAGGATTGACGTTCAAAGAATCCATATCTTCCCACTCACAATGCACTGAAAGACTTGAAGTCATTAGTCTGTACACTTGCGGTTCCGGAACGAATTATAAATCAATTTATAAAATAATTTTATTTAAATGAATGCTGGGGAAAACCCTTTGGTGATAGGGTCTGAAAGTGGTGGGATGGCCTGGAAGCATCCGTAAAGTGTTTTGCGTACGGTGTCAGCATTTAAATCGAGATGAAGAGCCGCTATCAGTCCGGAGCCAGATGGCGAATCGCCGGCTGATCTATCACAGGCGCGCGCAGAAACCCACTTCGCTGCAGCTAACTGCAGTCACGCAGTAGCCGCGCGCTCCGCCTCGTGCGTGGTTGGCATTCCTTGCAAGGGCGGGGGGGGCAGAGACTTTTTTTTTTTAAGTCCTAGGTCACCTTTGGGGATTTTCTTTACCTTCCTCCCTTCTGGTTTTCTAATACTGACTTTTGAAACCGTGTAACGATGTCTAATCTCATTATTAACACTCTTGGCTTATTGTACAGGTGTATTAAAATGGGTCTCTGCATCTGGTTTTTGGTGATTTTTGGAGCAACAGTGTTGAGTGAAGGGAGCATAAACAAATAGATATAGAAGAAGAGCCCTCTGTTTCCATGCTGAAGATTTTTTTCCTTAAATATCGCCAAGAACCAACATTTTCAGAGCTTTGGAAAATATCCATCCATGCATACCTGATCCGTAACCACTAATTCAGGCTGTGCGCGTCATGCAAAAGCATTAAGCTGCCTTGCTATCTACCAAACCTGCAATGTATTTAACATGGATAACTATAATTCAACATTGTCACCATCCATTTTGTTCCCTGTCAGTTTGCCCTTCCCAAATGTGCAAAACAAAAAAACAAACAAACAACTTCAATAATTCAAACCTTCAATACATTTCCCATGGAATTCAGGTCTGTTCAAAGAGTAGCTTCGTTACTTTATATTTTATACATCCCCGCACGTGCCCCATTCCCGCACGTGAAGCTCACCTCGGCACACGAGGCCTTCAGAAGGCATCAGAAATTATATAATTCCCTAACTTCTTCCATGCATCAGTGCAGTTAAGCACGATTCCTTAATCGCATCATGAAGCACGCCGTCTTAATGTCCCTCAGCGGTTGCTGTATTATCACAGACGGGAGTGACAAATACATCTCCTTGATCAGACGTGCAAGGTAAGATTCTGGAATCACTGCCGGCAAAGGAAATTAAACACGTATTGATTTCCCATACACTGCTAAGACACGATATTTTTTATTACAGTAATTGTCCGGCTTTCAGTAATTCAAATTTATTGATATTTCTGCCTGCTGAAGCAGGATAACCCCTCAACTTCCTAGAGAAACAGACACACTGGAACGGCCAACAGTTCCACTTTCTAGCTGTGCAAATGTGTACGTTGCACGAACTGTGGATAGTTATAAACTCTTATCGCCGAGGGACTTTGGGAAGGAAACAAATAATCCAGCAGTATTACTGGAAAAGGCGAGAGAAAACTGATTAACGTGACTCTGTTCTGGATGGCGACCAGGCAGATGGGAACGGGTGACTACACATCAAACGGCTGCTAAAAGCAGCAAGTGCGCATTCAAAACACATTTGCGCTTCTAACGTCTTTTTGGCTGAGAAGTCATTTCCTAAGGTTCCCACTTCAGCGCACTTATCATTTAGTCATGTCCTTATTCCTCCAGCGGTGACCCTTTTCATTTTCTGCTTTATTCTCTGCTATCGCCATTAAGCAGCTCACCCAACCTCGGGGCAGGCTGATGTAAGCTGGACATCCCTCACAGGAGACTGTCCAAGGCCGACAGAGACCACCGTTACTATATTCGTGCTCATATATTTGCAACCTCGGGACTCTTAAGTGCACGGCAGAAGTGGCAAGGTGCATTTAAAGGACACGAAATGAGCCTCGCCGAGAGCCAACCGATTGCTTTTTTATAATGAGGCGAACTGTAACAGCGTGTGATATGTGGCGCCCTCTTCAGGCTCACACCTGCACCAAAAGCGATCAAGTGTGGGGACATTTATGGATAATTTAACGGTTACATGAGTAATTGATTTATATTGCATGTGGGAGAAATTTAATGATAGTGACTGGATTAAGAACAGCGTAACGCATGTGACCTAACGACATTTCACATTGCAGCGGCAAATATGTAATTAACTTTGTTTACCGAGTAAAATCCGAAAATAAGGAAAATCCCGGAAACTGGACGAATCTTGGCACACGTTTCAAAAGTACAGATTCAACCCAAATTCAAATTTTATAAAGGCACCTGAGCAGGACCCGTTTGTACTGCGTTCCTAATCAAACAAAGCCCTCTAGTGGCAGATATTAAACAATACACATAAGACTTCTAGACAAGTCTGCGTATTTACTACTCAACCTCTAAATAAACAGAAATGTATGAAAGTAAAGAAAATTTCAAAATATCCACCTCACCAAGAATAACACCTAACAAAGCATTGTTAGTAGGAATAATGCTATTATTCGTTGCGTCTCATTTGGTACAACTGGAAAATTGTCAAGTATTCAAACCACCGAACACAATATTCGGTAAATTAAAAAGTTAAAACAGCCAATTTTGGTCCATTGCTAGAAACGTTGCGCTCATATTGCTCGATTTTACACTCTGTTTTCTTAAGACATATTTAGCATTACTTATGGACAGCAGACCGACGTTAAAGATTCTCAAAATGAGTTCCGTACTGTCAGAGTTGACTGGTGCTCTTCCAGATCATCTATATGGGGAGATCCCGAAGTTACTTAAAAAAAAAATAATCAGTTAACTGGGTTAGGATATATCGATTGAGAATTAAGAGATAAAGTGGTTCATTTTTAAGTAAAAAATATAAGCTGTCACCATGCAGATCAAAAATACTGAAGACAAAAGTAACAAGGAGTGTAAGATTTAAGCATTTATTAAAATATTTAACAGCAGAAATTACAATCACAAAACCGGAATTTCTAATAAAAATGCGAACAAAACCTTTAAAGCATAACAGAGGAACATTTTGCCAGAAATCAGTTTTTAAAAACAAGTTTTATTTAGACCCTGTTCACATGTTGTAAAAAACATTTCTAGATTTCAGTAAGTCTCACAACAAAATTATAAAATGCATATTATTTCCCAGTGAAGAATATTTCTATCGGTATAAATTTTATCAGTATACATGTCAGAGAGAGCCAGAGCAGTCATGCGAAACTGCACCAGTGGAAGGCACCCAAAAACAACCAGAAACCTCCTGTATTCCAAGACCCACAGGGGGGGTTTTGAGGTACGGACGGCGAGGGTGTGTGTGGTCCGGATCGCTAAACGGAGCGGGGGCTGGCTCGACAACAGCACTTCAAAACCCAACTGGAGATTAAACTCCTGTAAACCCGCCAAAATTAGGCCAGCTGCTCTTTATATCAAGCGACAGAAGGGTGATTCAAAATATAAATACCAATCTCCTCTGTATAATAATCGGGAAGCTCTGTAGCCCTTGCGGATGGGAAGGAGCGAGACACCAAGGATACCAAGTGTGGCATGCGGGCAAGGCTGCAATGCGACGCAGGACAGAGAGAGAGAGACTGCTTATACAAAGAAGCAGTAGAAATGTTTCAATACAACATGTTAAACACAGCACAGAATTTTGTAACGAACATTAAGAGCTCAAAAAAAACACATACGGTACCGAAAATAGATCAGCACCATCGATGGCGCCATTTCAAGATGTAGGTCTACAAAAACAAAAATGGAGTTCCGTGGGCGGTTAAGAATCAGAGTAGAAAACAAATTCATGTATTTGACAGGGCCACCGGGCGTCACACAACACGGAACTAATGACAACGCACAGGCGTAGTGGTAGTTTAATGTGACGACCAAAGTAGATCTGTATTTATCAAACAGCGATAGGCCCTGTTACTTCAGCTCGTGCCAAATGAAACGACACTACGCTACCATTAAAAAAAAGAATTTCATATTCCATCAAGGCGTTACATCCGAAATATTACCATGTCTTTATTTTTTAATTTATCAGTAAATTGCTTCAAACGTTAAAAGGGGAGCCAACGTAACAAGTATCTACAAAAAAAAAATAAAAATAAAACAAGATGTCACTGGCCTCAGCGTATGGTTCAGGAATCGCTACAGCCGTGACCGTTAGAGGGAGACGGCAAAGGGGTCGCCTTTTCCCACCACGACCAATCTGCGCTTCCTGTCGCGTGGAGCCCTTTCTCAAAAGAAAACACTGGCACCGCCCACAAACACAAAACCAGCGAGGAGGAATCGATAACAGACAACCACCACAAGAGGGCGCTTTATAAATCAGGTGAAATTAAAAACAATAATTAACGAAGGAAAACAAAGCTACTTAAGACCTGAGAGGAGCAGGTGAATTTTCTAAAACGTGCATAATGATTTGCTGTATTAAAAATTAACTGCAGTCAAATTTTGTCTTTTTTTGGATAATTATCAGCATAACAAGATACTGATTTCAAAGTCATCTTGTAAAGAACTCTGTAGCTTCTAAAAAACTGTACAAAGAGGAGAAGAATCTGAAAGTACATTCAACATCTGTTAATGAGGTACTGGGAAGGTCTTAGTCACAGGACAGCGTTCACAGTAGGAGTCGAGTTAATCACAGAGACTGCCCCCCCCCTTCGGCGAGCCTGTCAGCGCATGTTCAGCCACGGGCATCTCGCCACGACACCCACGCTGCCCAGACACATGCGGCTCTTTGGATAGGCCCGGCTGTCAGAGCCGCCGTGATAGCAGGGGTGCCACCGGCGAGCTCGCGGGGACGCCGGAGCACGCGGGACTGTCAGGTTCGAGATGCCCCATCACTACAGCCCGCAAGGCCGCATCACACAAGGGCATCACAGCAGGTCTCCGGCGCGACCGGCACACAGCACCGACTCGTCAAGCCGGCGCCGGAAACGGAGCCGCGGCCCACGCGGACAACCGGGCCGGACGATACCTACTGAACACGCTGAGCGTTAAGGAGCTGACAAGCCCGGCGCCATCGGCAGTTGCGCCGGCTTAAGGGCAGGACAGTGAAGGGAACTGGAAGTGATATCCGCTTATATGCCTTAAAGGAGTCTGTTTATCGAGAGCGTGGCTATTCGTTTTCTGGGAGAGACCCGGCAAGACACAATCGTCATATTAAAAGGACAATGCTAGAGCGGGGGGGGTCTGAAATGTAGGGGAGGAAAAATCCCAGAATTACATTGTAGCTCACTGGTGTCCACAAGAGAGCCCCGACTGTCCAACGTTGCAAATTACGAAATGTTAATCATACAAAGAAACAAGCAGTTACTGAACATCAAGCTCACTTAAAGGGATCTTTTTTTAAACAGTTTGAGAAGAAGAATTTCCTTTCTACTGGACTAACGAATGCTAGAGTTTAGCCTGAGAAACGACTGCAGAGTCCGACAGACACAGTGTGGTTAAGAACATCGGCTGGAGGAAATGTCTCGACATGGCCAAAAAAGGGAATAAAAAACACACACAACACACACAACTAAATCCTTGAGAAAACTGTTATTGCTTATCACGGTGTTGGGGGGGGGGGGGGGGGGGAGTGGGGTAGGAGGGAAAAAAGGGGCAGTAACAAAAAGGCAGAACGGATGGAGTGACCACAGAATGAAAGGGTGAGAGGAAGACCGGGGAGTGTGAAGGGGTGAAGCAGGGCAGCATGTCAGTGTCACTCAACCTGCGGAGGGGCGTGGCATAAGGGGGTGTGGCATATGGGGGCGGGGCATGAGGGGGCGGGGCACGGAATGTCACTGTCCGCTACTGGTCAGCCGACATGTCTCTCTCTGTCTCCGCCTTGGAGGGTTGCCCTGGCGATGGGGTGTGGGGGGGCCGGGTGATGGGGGCGATGCCGTGGGCTACGGGTAGCCCCCCCGAGACGATCCCCTCCCCTGTGGCTCCCGCCACCGGCAGGCCACCCGTCGTCACAGCGATGCCGGCCGGGAACCTATGGGAAATGGTACAGACACCTGTTATTGAATCCCTGCCACGGGCGTCGCTAAGCAACCCCGGCCCCCGCTGCGCCCCCACCCCCCCTCACCTGTAGGCGGCAGCAGCGCCTCCGTTCAGCTCCGTGTGCCCCCCCGCCGGGTCCATACCCATCCACTGGGAGGTGGCCATCAAGTACTCCTTATTCACACAGTTCTTCAGGCTGTCAGGGATGCGGCCTAGAGGGCAGTCATCAGTAAGGGGAGGCAGGGCCAAGGCAGGGCCAAGGCAGGGTCTCGACCCCAGACAGCAGTCATCAGTAAGGGGAGGCAGGGCCAAGGCAGGGCCAAGGCAGGGTCTCGACCCCAGACAGCAGTCATCAGTAAGGGGAGGCAGGGCCAAGGCAGGGCCAAGGCAGGGTCTCGACC